GCGGCTGAAGCAGCTTTGCTGCTCTGGCTGCGCGGTGCAAAAGTGTGTCTGACGCGCGTTGGGCGGAGCTGCACTATCCTTTCTCTGCCTTGCAGCTATATTTGCTGTCCAGCAGCAAAATTTCCATTTTTCCATCTCGAGCAGCAGCGCGTTGGCGCCGCGTCAGATGCTTAAACGCTCCCGACGCCTGCTGCTCAAAATGCGCTGCAGGACCTTTTGCTGCGCCTATACGCGTGTCAACCATTGACTTTGCATGTAAACTCGCTGCTTCTGCTGCACCTGCTGTGTCCGGTTCACACCGATGTCGAGCGGTTGAAGTTCCTTTGTCAGATCTCCCGCAATAAGCACAGCATTCATTTGTTTCACCATGTTTTTCACATCAGCTGTGAGATGGGCACGCATGGAGTCACAGAGTAACAGAGATGGTGATGAGTGGAAAAAATAAACCTGGTCTCCTTACATTCACCTCCCTCAGCCACTCTTTCATCATCTCCTCAATGAGGAGATGAGGAGTTCTACATGGTTCATGGTGGTCTCAAAAGTCCGCAGTAACAACACACATAGAGCGCACCGCACCAAAGGGCCACCGCACATTTTGAGGGGAAAAAAAGACGTTTATATGCGCCTTATAGTCGTGAAAATACGGTATTTATTTCCTCACGTATTTTGGAGAGTTAAAAAACAAATTTTTTTCAGATGTACTGTCCATTTTGTGGAACTGCCGCCATAAATTCTGCAGACTTTTGTTGTCAATGTGGCAGAAACATAAAATTTGTCCAAGATCATGCAAACAATGCCCAAGATGAGAGGAACACTACCACTGCAACTCCCGATGTTCAACCAAGCACCAGCACAGGTAAATCGAAGCATGGGTTATTTATTTCAGCATGCTTAAGTGTTAGCATTTTAAACCATCTGTAGATGCAGGTACGATCACTGCAGTATTGATCGTACCTGCAATTAATATTTAATGCATTTAAATTATAACTAAAGTGCCAATCATGTATTTTTTTATTACGAATTTCAGGTGTAGAGTGTTTCATGAACTTTAGAGCTATAAAAGAGAGGGAAAGAAAGAAATTTTTTACCAAGAAGCATCAGAACAAAACACAGAAGGGAAATAAACTGAAGGTATGCCTTTAATTTAGTGCAAACACAAACTGGAAATTACATACTTCATCAAATAATTTAATTTGATTGATTACATTTTGTCTCTCCCCAGATTAATGTTGGGCTTATGAGTAGGGTTGGGAATTGAAAAGATTTTCACGATTCCGATTCCCTTTTCGATTCTATGAAACAATTTGATTCTTTATCGATTCTTTTTTCGATTCCAATTTGGGGAAAAACGGAGAACAAACAGTTTGATTAACAGCATCAACTTTGTTTACTTAACTATTGCACAATCTTACAAACTCAACAAGATCAAGATGTCCACAGGAAATGTTAAACTGGAGTAACATCTGTGTTTAAATGAAAAATGAATACAAGAACAAACTTAATAACCAACAATGTCTAATAACAAATGATGGGATAATAA